CCGCGGCGGGGGGGGGGGGGTGGAGAGGGGGGTCGGAGCCGCGGGGCATCGGGGCTGTCCTGAACAGTCCTCTCCGCCCTTAACAGCAGGCACCTGAACTGGATGCAGTGCCCGAGCGACTCCTTCCTCCGCCCATCCCTGCCGACTCTGACCAAATGTTTGAGAGGGAAGAACAGGCCGCTGAGATCGCCCTCACTTTAGTGGCCTCTTTCCAAGCCATGGAGAAGAAGGTGGATTCCCACACCACCCGGTTGCTGGAACTGGAGGGCAGGACCGGGACAGCCGAGAAGAAGATAATGGACTGCGAGAAGACGGCCGTAGAGATCGGCAACCAGCTGGAGAGCAAGTGGGCCGCCCTGGGGACGCTGATCCAGGAGTATGGCCTGCTGCAGCGGCGGCTGGAGAACATGGAGAACCTGCTCAAGAACCGGAACTTCTGGATCCTGCGCTTCCCCCCGGGCTCCAAGGGGGAGACCCCCAAAGTAAGTGCAGCGTGCGGTATTTGTCCCTGGGCTTGAACGTGGCTTGTGGGGACGGAGCCGTGGATTCAGATGCCTTTCAGCAGGGGTGGGCGAGGCCCCATTGCTTTTGAGAGTCTCAGAGAAGATGCCAGCAATGACCCGGCGCGGTTGCCAGCGGGAGCAGGGCTGCCCTGGCCTTCTCGAGGGCTTTGCTTGGCCTCGGGGGAAGCCGGGCAGGGGTGCGCGTGGCTGGACTTCTTGTCCATTCTGAGGCTTTCTTCCGCATCACGTCATATCCCCAGAGAAGTGCGGGCGGTGCCCTGGGAGTTCTCCGGGTAACGAAGAACGGCACGGTTGCCGGCTTCCCGGAGTGATCCGCCTTCTGCATCCAGGCAGGGCTTTCGGTGTCTTGTTGACTGCAGTGTCCAGGTCGCTCAGTTTGTTGGGACCCACTCTGGACTCCTAGGTTTTCGTCCCACCCCTCTCCCCTTGGGTTCAACCCCCTGAATGTTTCGGTTGTTTGGAGGTTTCCTACATCCATGGGTGCGTTGAAAACCACTTAGGAATGTCGGAATGCTCCCTTGGGTCGTTCCCGTATTGTAACGCCGGCGTTCCCATGTTTTGAAACAAGGAAAGAGGCCGTGGCTTGCAGTGAAGCTGTTCACAGCAGGCCTTGGCAGGTCAGCACAGGAACAGTTCCCAGAGAGCTGCTTTGCACACCAGGGTTGTTGGGCAATTGTTTCACACACCCCTCCTTAAAATCAGAGTTGTCCTGTGGGCAGCCCTTCTCAACTGGGGGGGGGGGGGTAATCAGGGGTGATTTTAGG